TTTTTTTTTCTGATTAAAAAGCACCAAATTCTGATTTGTTTGAAAATAACTAAATTAGCCTTAATGTTTCAATAAATTACATCGCTAAAAAAGGAAAGTTTTAAAGTTGTCTATCTCTTATTCTTCTAAGGCAGCGGTTCTCAACCTGTGGGTGGAGACCCCTTTTTAACAGTGGAAATACATTGTGGCATTAGGAAGGTTGAGAACTACTTGTTTTAAGGCATTGAGTACACATTCTGATGTTAATAATATAGTCAAGCAGCCTCTGTTACCATGAAGAGAAAGCCCTCATACCAAAATACTACAAAGGGAAAATACAGAACCTAATTGGATGTCAGATTTCAGTTGATAAAGCCCACCCTTCAGTCATTAGATGTGGCAGCCCTTGACTTAAGTTTCTGTTTATACAAAGGCAGGGATTTTTCTCAAATTTCCTATTCTTCTGATATGCTTGAATTTTTACTTGATTAATGAGCAAAACTGAAGAGTAGCCCAAGTCCAGTCCATTGTTAATATTACTGACAATTAACATATGAATTAACTTTTAATTGTGTTGAAATTTGTTGAGTCTTCCACCCCCGAAGAGGACATACTGGTAAATTTCCATTGCTAAAACCTTATGCTAAGTCAACTTGAAAGTACACAAATTCAGGATTGTGAAACTCAGAAGTTGAAGATTAACCAGTATCTGGCCACTTTCTAGGGCTTGCTCATCCAGCAAGTAGAAAACCAAGGCTTGGGGAAATTAAGTGATTTGCCTCTGCTTGCAGAGCTAGTTAGTGACAAAGGTAGTTAATGACAGAGCCAGAATGGGAAGCCCGTCTAATACTCTTTACAGTATCCTCTGTCAACTCTTTATATGAAGTAAACTTTAAAAAAGTAGAAAAGGGAGTTACGTACCATAGTAAGGCAGTATGTATAGCTTCATTCATCCTATGGGAATGGAAGACAGGACAACTTTATGAAGAAATGGAACTAATCTATGAGGCTAATTTCCACATGAATTTTTAAGGGCTTTATACATAGCAGTTAAGCCTTTTACCTTACTAATCTTGATTCAGAAATAATTTGAGACGAGTTATCTTGTAATAAAATGAGTTGACAGCAGTTAACCCTATTGAATCAAAAGCTTGACATTTTCGCTTGAAATTATTTGTTATCTTTTTTGAAGCTTAGAATTATTTTAATTTTGTTTCCAACTTTAATTACATGTTGTATAATAACTGCTTAACAATTAATTTCCTTTGCCCTAACACTTCCTATAATAACTTCAATAGTTACTCAATAGTTTTTACACTGTGGATCTATTTAAGTAGATTTGTGGGTTTCTTCTTTGTCCTCTGAATAAAAACTCTTGGTTTTACTTTTATTGCTCATTATGCTACTTTCTCTCATTGCAGATTTTTTTTCTTTTTTTTTTATTTTTTACCAACTAGATATCTAGGTTACATATTTTGACAATTACTTTCTTTAAATCAAGCCTTCAAAAATGTTTTGAAAGGACAAAAAGTTTTGCTCGCTTTACATTAAATTATGGTGAGAAATTTGAGGACTGTATGAGGAAAACAATATAATCTAAGCAAAACCTCTTTATATTCTTTAGCACTAATCTTTTTCTTTAACCTCACTAATTGCCTTTGTTCTCCTTTTTGTGAATGTGGATATAAGAAACACAGGCCCCCCTTTTTTATCTAATCAGGGTAAAAGTCTCATAGGAGATTTCTAGTTGATTTGTGATTTGAATTACCAGGAAATATTATATTTAAAAATACATTAGAAAAAAATTAAAAATAGGCTGAGCATGGTGGCTCATACCTATAATTCCGACACTTTGGGAGACTGAGATAGGATTGCTTGCGACTAGCACGGGCTACATTTGTTTTTTTGTCTCTACAAAAAAAAAAAACAAAAATAAATAAATAAATAAAGGCATGTGGTGAATGCCTGTAGTTCTAGCTACTTGGGAGACGGAGGTGCCAGGATTACTTGAGCTTACGTATTTAGCCTTGGCTGAGCTATGATGGTACCACTGCACTTCAGCCTGGGTGACAGAGCAAGACCTTATCTCTTAAAAAATAAGTGTGTGTGTGTGCACGCGCATATGTATGTATGCATAGATATTAGAAATAAATTAGAAAAATTTTATTGTACAACTGGTTTTATTGGCACATAAAAATTCAATCAAAACAATGATTTCTTGATATTTTAAATAATTTTTTTAGGACTGAGTAGAAAAGAAAGTTGGAAAAAACTATGGAGTTACTTTCATGTGTATTTAAATAGATGAAAAGTTAAAAATTGTGCAGCAAGGCATGGTGGCCCATGCCTGTAATTCTAGTACTCTGGGAGGCTGAGGTGGGTGGATTGCTTGAGCTCACGAGTTCAAGACCACTAGCCTGAGCAAAAAAAAAAAAAAGTGAGACCCCTCTCTCTACTAAAAGGAAAAAACCTAGAAAAACTGAGGCAAGAGGATCACTTGAGTTGAAGTTGGAGGTGGCTGTGAGCTATGACACCATAGCATTCTACCCAGGGAGCTTGAATCTCTGTCTCAAAAAAAAAAAATTAATTAAGAATTGTGTCTAGCTTCCTGGTATGGAGCTGGGTTGAAATGCTACATTTGTATGGTCTGTTCTGGGATGGTTCATTTTATGCCTTGGACCCATAGCATGTCCAGCCCTGTTTAACTGTTTTTATGGACATTTTTTGATTTGCTAATTAAGAACTCAAAGATTTGATTTTTATCCTTAGGTATGGAGAGAAAAACAATGCATTCATTGTTGCCAGCTTTGAAAATGAGGATGAGAACAAAGATGAGATCTCCAAGAAAGTTACCAGGGCCCTTGATAAAGTTACCTCTGATTATCATTCAGGATCTTCTTCCTCAGATGAAGAAACAAGTAAGGAAGTGGAAGTGAAACCCAATTCGGTGACTGCAACACCAAGCCCAGTGTACCAGGTAACCACAAAACTGCTCCGTATTAAAGGGCATGAGCCGCAGAGCTTGCCAGGGTTATTCTAGGTATCCCTGTTCCTGTTGTCCAGAGTTTCTGATTTGAGGTTCTGGATTACAGTTCTTGCCTTTCCCACATTAAGGGAAAGCTGCTGCTTTGAGATGTAAATAAGCATCCTGAGTCATTTTATCAAAGATTGCCTTTACCACACAATAATTAGGATATTTTATATTTATTTCAAAAAAGTGTGGCCAAAAAATAGGAAAGTTACAATGATAAAACATTCCTGATATTTTAAAATTCCTTATTTTATTAAAAAATCTAAGTTCTTTTTAATACCCGTTAGTATTTCCATTTTGTATCTTTGGGATTGACCTTATTTTTCTTTCCATGATTAAAGAGAAACGTCACTAAATTATATTCTGATTAGTTTTTTACTCAGGGTACAGTGTCTCCCTTTTTGGTTTCATAGTTGAAGAGAGTGAAAAGGCTAATGTGCATGCATTTATATATTCATTCGCTTATTTATATCTACATACCAAAGAACATTTAATACCCTTTTAAAAATCCTTAACACCATTCCTCAACAGAGGTATTTTAAAGTCTGAACAATTTATTTTTTATTTATGTATTTATTTTTTTTGAGACAGAGCCTCAAGCTATCCCCCTGAGTAGATTGCTGTGGCATCACAACTCACAGCAACCTCCAACTCCTGGGCTCAAGCGAGTCTCCTGCCTCTGCCTCCCAAGTAGCTGGAACCACAGGCGCCTGCCACAACGCCTGGCTATTTTTTTGGTTGCAGCCATCATTTTTGTTTGGCGGGCCTGGGCTAGATTTGAACCCGCCACCTTAGGTGTATGTGGCCGGCGCCTTAGCCACTTGAGCCACAGGTGCTGAGCCAGTCTAAACAATTTAAAGAGATCTTTTGACTTGAGCCTTATTCTGTACATATAATTATTTCTAATTTTTTAAGTCACTTATTTTTATTTGCCATCTATTTTTATTAATTTCACTTAATTACATGTAATGAAATGTTGGGTTTATGGAAGAATTAGATAAATGGAAATTTATCTTTAGATAAATGGCACCTAATGAATAAGAAGCAAATTATTGGACTTTTGAGTTTGAGAAACAAAACTTTTTAAATTCAGCATATATTTATGTTAGGAATGTTAATTTCAGTGTAATGATCTTTGACCTTTTTAGTTCACTTACTCTTAGACTTGAAGGAAAGGTTACTTACGAAAATTATATTTTAGGGATATATATTTATATATTATAACATGCAACATGCCCCTGCTTTGTAAAACTTGAGATAATATAGCAGAATAATAGTGAGAAGCCCTTTTCCCAACCACCAGTCTTAATCCTCTTCTATAGAGGCATTTATCATCTCGTTTAGGGAGATGGGATGTTGTATCCTTCTAGAGAGATTCTCTATATAATACAAGCAAACGAAATAATTTGTATTTCAGGATCATTTGTAAAACATTTGATGTAAATATTTGCCACATTTTTTCTCTGTGGTGTTATATATACTGCAAATTACCTTTAATGACTTTCCTGGAATTTATTTAAATGTATGGCAGTTTTACTTTAGAATTTTATTTGTTACTTAACTATACAAGAACATAAGTCTCCAATTAAATTGATGGCTGCTAATTTTTAATAAGTAAATTGACCTTTAAATTTTAGGTTTTCTTTTAATGTTAATTGCCCTTATTTTCTCCCATGTGGAAAGACTGTTGGGATAACAGAAAAGCTTGCAAATTAGCGTTACTCTTACGTGCTTTTTAAAAAAAGAAACATTTCCCCTTGACAACTATATTCATTAACAAAACAGTTCTTAACAGAGAAGCATTGCTATTACAAGTCCTTGTGTAGAAAGTAGTACAAGTGGTATACTTCGGGCCAGGCGTGGTGGCTCACACCTATAATCCTAGCACTCCAGGAGGCCGAAGTGGGTGAATTGCCTTAGCTCACAAGTTCGAGACCAGCCTAAACAAGAGTGAGACCTCCGTCTCTAAAAAAAAAATAGCTGGTGTTGGTGGCGGTCACCTGTAGTCCCAGCTACTCAGGAGTCTGAGGCAAGAGGATCGCTTGAGCCTAAGAGTTGGAGGTTGCTGTTAGCCGTGATGCCAGGGCACTCTACCTAGAGCAATACACTGAGACTCTGTCTTTAAAAAAAAAATGAAAATACTACCCCCAGACAGCTTTCATAAGTTAAGTAAAGATGAGGTCGGGCAGGTGTATTGCCTGAGCTAGAGTGAGATCAGACCCTGTCTCTGAAAATAGCCAGGCATTGTTGCCAGTACTCAGGATGCTGACGTAAGAGGATCTCTTGAGCCCAAGAGTTTGAGGTTACTGTGAGCTATGAAGCCACAGTATGAAGGTGATAAAATGAGACCATGACTCAAAAAGAAAGAAGTAGAACCAGTTTTCCTCAAATTGATCTTTAGATCCAACTTTTATCAACTAATCTCGAAAGGCTTTTCTAGAAAGTGAGAAATTGATACAAAAATTTTAAAGAGGGGTGCCTGTGGCTCAGTGGGTAGGGTGCCAGCCACCTATAGCAAGGGTGGTAAGTTCAAACTCAGCCCTGGCCAAAGTGCAACAAAAAAATAGCCAGGCATTGTGGTGAGCTCCTGTAGTTCCAGCTACTGGGGAGGCTAAGGCAAGAGAATTGCCTAAGCCCAGGAGTTGGAGGTTGCTGTGAGCTATAATGCCACGGTATTCTACCGAGGGCAATAAAAGTGAGACTCTTGTCCCCCCCCCCAAATTTTTTTTTTAAAAGGAAGATGGCTGGGTACAGTGTGTGCTATAATCCCAACACTGAGAGGCCAAAGTAAGAGGATCACTTGAGACCAGGAATTTGAGACTATCCCAGGGAACATAGTAAACCCTCTTCTCTACAAATGGCTCACTCCTGTAATCCTAGCATTTTGGGAGGCCTACGTGAGAGGACTGCTTGCGACCAGCCTGGAAAATAGCACAATTCGCATCTCTACAAAATAAAAAACCAGCCACATGTAATGGTATGTAACTATAGTCCCAGGGAGCCTGAGCCAAGAGGATTGTGTGTGCACCCAAGAGTTTGAGCTATGGCAGTGAGCTATGATTGTACCACTATACTGGCTGGAACTCTTGCTCCAGAGATAGAGCAAGACCATATCTCTTTTTTTTTTTAAAAAAAAAGGAGATATACAAATTCATCAGTGGAGAGTCCAGCAATAGACCCACATTTGTATATACGTATATGTACAGTGGGGTTTTATTTTAACCTTATAGCCAGCAGAAAGGAAGAAAGGCTTGTATTTTCTCTCTTTTTTTTTTTAAAGATAGGTCTCACTCTGTTGTCCAGGCTGGAATACAGTACTATAATTGTGGCTTATTGTAGCCTTGAACTCCTGGCTCAAGCTGTCCGCCTGCTTCATTCTCCTGAGTAGGTGGGACTACAGGCATGGCTAATAATCTTTATGAAATTTTTTTGTAGAGACAGGGTCTTATTAAGTTGTAAGGTTTTTTCTGTGTTTTACAAAAGTGCCATAGTAGTTCAATGGGGAAAGTCTTCAAGAAATAGGCCAAAACAATTAGGTGGTCTTTAGAGGGAAAAAGAAAAATGAACCTTGATACCATACATTAAAAAATTGATTTCAGATGGATCATAGACCTAAACATAAAAGCTAAATCTGACACTTTCGAAGAAAACAGGGAGATACAACCTTTATTGTCTTAAGATAGGTAAAGATTTCCCCCCCCCATTGATAAATTGGACTTCATCAAAATTAAAAATCTTTCTACTCAAAGAAATCATTAAGAAAATGAATATACAAACTATAGTAGTGACCACCTCCTTAAGTTGACTGAATTTTCAGACTGGACCTGTATACCGGTACAGAAGGCCTATTTCCTTATGTTGACCACTTTGTTTCAATCCCTTGGTTGGTCAACTTGCAGAGGCTACTGTACTTTTAAAGTCATTCCTATAAATTGGTGGTAAAAAACAAATGACTCAATTAAAAATAGTGGGCAAAAGATGTGAATAAATACTGTGCAAAAAAGTTATGTGGGAGCGGTGCCTGTGCCAGCCCCATATACTGAGGGTGGCAGGTTTTAACCCAGCCCTGGCCAAACTACAGCAAAAAAATATCCAGGCATTGTGGTTGGTGCCTGTGGTCCCAGCTACTTGGGACGCTGAGACAAGAGAATCACCTAAGCCCAGGAGTTGGAGGTTGCTGTGAGCTGTGATCCCACTGCACTCTACCTAGGGCAATAAAGTGAGACTCTGTCTCTTTAAAAAAAAAAAAAAGTTATGTGAATGGCCATTCAACAAATGAAAAGGTGATCAACTTCATTTCTCATTAGAGAAATGAAAATTAAAACGACAGGACACACTAATTCTTCCAGAATCTCTAAAGCCTGACAGAAAATATTGGCAAGGATGTGAAGCAGGTAGATTTATAAACTGTTGGTGGGCATGTAAAATGGTACAACTGCTTTGGAAAACTGGTGCTTACAAAGTTAAATATGCATTTACCTTATTACTCTTCAATTCCACTACTGAGTATTTACCAAAAGAAATATAAATATATGTCTACAAAGGCTTATACTAGAATTTACTATGCTGTTATTCATTGTAGTTACATATTGTACATCTTTTTTTTTAATTTTAAGAGATAGAGTCTTGCTGTGTTGCCCAGGCTAGAGTGCAGTGACATAATCATAGCTCACTACAACCTCAAAACTCTTGTCCTGAGCTCACGTGATTCTCCTGGCTTAGCCTCCAAAGTAGCTGAGACTATAGGCATTAGCAGCCATGCCTGGCCCCCTTCTGAATTTTCTATCATATGAGTGTAATACACTATACAGAATATAAATAATTCTTGCAAAACTATACTTAGAAGGGCAAATTAGAGATCAGAGAAATCTGAAACTCATAGAGTGCTGTATTTGAGGTTATCATTTCTTCATGCATTCAGAAAACATCATTCACCTTTGTTTTTCACATATTTGGACCATAGGAATGGCACTTAAACCTCCTCTTAGAGTTGGGGGTGAGTGATTTTTTTTTTTAATGTCTTTAATCTAGAAGATTACCTAGTCTTGTCGTAACGAGACTAATTTTTCCTTTGAGTTAATGCTTAATGTTTTCTCTTCCCTACAGATTTCGGAACTGATATTCCCACCTCTTCAAGTGTGGCATCCGTTGCCCAGAAAAAAGCCAGGAATGTACCGAGGGAATGGCCATCAGAACCACTACCCTCCTCCTGTTCCGTTTGGTTATCCAAATCCGGGAAGGAAGCATAAACCATACCGTCCAATTCCAGTGACATGGGTACCTCCTCCTGGAATGCATTGTGACCGGAACCACTGGATTAATCCTCACATGTTAGCACCTCACTAGCTTCTTTTGATTTTGTGGGTGTCATGTTGAGAGAAAGGTAGAATAAACCTTACCACACATTGAAAGTTAAAAGTTCATACTAATAGCGAAGTTAGATGGACCAAACCATCAAACTTATTTTTATAGAAGTTACTGAGAATAATCTTTCTTAAAAATATATATGCACTTTAGATATATTGATATAGTTTGGGAAATTTTATTAAAGTTAGTCAAGTGCCTGAGTTTTTAATATTGGACTTGAGTATTTATATATTGTGCATAAACTCTTGAATACGAGAACACTGTAGGAGTGGATGATCTGTTGTAGCACCTTTGAGCATTTACTTTATGGAGCATTTACTTTATGGAGTGTAAGTAAGTTATTTATATACAAGGAGATCTATTTTATGTCATTGTTTAGAAAAATTGCGTGAAATCATGTAGTTGCAAATAAAAAGTAGTTTGAGGCATGACAATGTGTATTTCTATTCTGTGCCTAAAAAGGAGAAAGACCTGAGGTCATTTCTTGTCAGTGTATTTAAATATTTCACAAAAATATTAAACAAAGGCCAGGCACAGTGGCTCACACCTGTAATCCTACCACTCTGGGAAGCTGAGGCAGGTGGATTGCTTGAGCTCAGGAGTTTGAGGCTGAGCAAGAGCGAGACCCTGTCTATAAAAATAGCTGGGCATTGTGGTCAGAGCCTGTACTCCAGCTACTTGGGAGGCTGAGGCAGAAGGATTGCTTGAGCCCAGGAGTTTGGGGTTGTGAGCTACTATGCCACAGCACTCAACTAAAGGCAAGGGCAACAAAAAGAAAAATTAAACAAAATATGAGAATTTCAAAATTACCTTTTAAAAAAATCAGCTTTTTATTAACCATACTTTCCCAAACACCACATACCAAAATATGCATGGTAAAATGTTAAAAATTTACTAGTGCTAGCTAATCAAAAATATAATACAATAACCTTTAATTATCAAAGTCACTATCCATAGGATTTTTTTCTTTTTTCTTTTTACTAAATCATAGCTGTGTACATTAAAGGAATCATGGGGTGCAGTGTGCTAGTTTTATATACAATTTGAAATATTTTCATCAAACTGGTTAATACAGCCTTCATGGCATTTTCTTAGATATTGTGTTAAGACATTTATATTCTACATTTAGAAAGTTTCACATGTACCCTTGTAAGAGGCACCATAGGCGTGGTCCCACAAATCACCTTCCACTCATCCTCCCCCCTCTTCTCCCTCTCCTCTTTCCCAATATTTTTGGGCTATAATTGGGCTACAGCTTTCATATGAAAGCTATAATAAATTAGTTTCATTGTAGGGCTGAGTACATTGGATACTTTTGCCATTCTTGAGATACTTTGCTAAGAAGAATGTGTTCCAGCTCCATCCATGTAAACATGTAACAGGTAAAGTCTCCATCTTTAAAGCTTCATAATAGTCCATGGTGTACATATACCACAATTTATTGATCCATTCATGGGTCACTGGGCACTTGGGCTTCTTCCAGGACTTTGCAATTATGAATTGGGCTGCAATAAACATTCTGGTATAAATATCTTTGTTAACAATGTGATTTTTGGTCTTCTGGATATATACCTAGTAGAGGAATTGTAGGATCAAATGCCAGGTCTATTTTTAGATCTCTAAGTGTTCTCCAAACATCTTTCCAATAGGAATGTCTTAGTTTGCATTCCTACCAGCAGTGTAGAAGTGTTGCCTTTTGTCCACATCCACGCCAGCATCTCTGGTTTGGGGATTTTGTGATACGGGCTAATCTTACTGGAGTTAGATAATATCTCAAAATAGTTTTGATTTGCATTTCTCTGATGATTAAGGATGATGAGCATTTTTTCACCATGCGCCTGTCTTCTTCAGAGAAGTATCTCTTCAAGTCCCTTGCCCACCCTGAGATGGGATCACTTGTTCTTTTCTTGCTAATATGTTTGAGTTCTCTGTGGATTCTGGTCATTAAACCTTTGTTGGATACAAAACCTGCAAATATCTTCTCCCATTCTGAGGGCTGTCTTGCTTTACTTACTGTGTTCTTTGCTGTGCAGAAGAAGCTTTTTAGTTTATTTTTGATGTTGCTTCAATTGCCCAGGGAGTCCTCCTTATAAAATATTCACCTAGGCAGATTTCTTCAAGTGTTTTCCCTAAACTTCCTTCTAGTATTTTTATAGTTTCATGTCTTAAGTTTAAATCTTTAATCCAGTGAGAGTCTTATCTTAGTTAATGGTGAGAGGTGTGGGTCCAATTTCAGTCTTCTACAGGTTACTAGCCAGTTCACCCAGCACCATTTGTTAAATAGGGAATCTTCCCCACTCAGTGGTTTTAATTGGCTTGTCAAAGATCAGATAACGGTAAGTAGCTAGGTTCATCTCTTGGTTCTCTTTTCTGTTCCATACATCTACCTCTCTGTTTTTGTGCTAGTACCATGCTGTTTTGATCATTATGGATTTATAGTGTAATCTGAGGTCTGGTAGCGTAATTCCTCCTGGTTTATTTTTATTTCTGAGTGATGTCTTGGCTATTCAGGGTCCTTTCTGATTCCATATGAAACAAAGTATTATTTTTTCAAGATCTTTAAAATATGACAGTGAAGCTTTAATAGGGATTGTATTAAAATTATATATTGCTTTGGGTAGTATGAACATTTTAACAATGTTGATTCTTCCCAGCCATGAGCATGGTATGTTTTTCCATTTGTTAACATTTTCAGCTATTTCTTTTCTTAGAGTTTCATAGTTCTCCTTATAAAGATCTTTCACATTCTTTGTTAGGTAAACTCCCAAATATTTCATCTTTGGCACTATTGTGAATGGAATAGAGTTCTTGACTGTTTTTTTAACTTGACTGTTGTTGGTGTATATGAAGGCTACCGATTTGTGTTGATTTTGTAACCTGAAACGCTGCTGTATTCCTTGATGACTTCTAAGAGTTTTGTAGTGGAATCCCTGATGTTTTCCAGGTATACAATCATATCATCTGCAAAGAGTTAAAGTTTAATCTCTTCAGTCTGATCCTATATAGATATCCTTGATTGCCTTTTCTTCCCTAATTGTAATGGCTAAAACTTTCATTACAATGTTAAAGAGCAGTGGAGACAATGGGCAACCTTGCCTTGTTCCTGATCTGAGTGGAAATGGTTTCACTTTAACTCCATTCAACATGATATTGGCTGTAGGTTTGCTGTAGATGGCCTATATCAGTTTAAGAAATGTCCCTTCTATACCAATTTTCTGAAGTGTTCTGATCAAAAGCTTTTTCTGCATTAATTGAGAAAATCATATGGTCTTTGTTTATGTGCTGAATTACATTTATACATTTACATATATTGAACCAGCCTTGAGACCCTGGGATAAAACCCACTTGGTTGTGGTGTATAGTTTGTTTGATGTGTTGCTGGATTCTGTTTGTTAGAATCTTTTTGAATATTTTCGCATCAGTATTCATTAGCGATATTGATTTATAATTTTCTTGTTGGGTTTTTTTCCTGGTTTGGGTATCAAGGTGATATTTGCTTCATAGAATGTGTTGGGTAGTATTCCTATATTTTGGAAAATGTTGAGTAATATAGGTACTAGTTTTTCTTTAAAGGTTTGGTAGAATTCTGATGTGAAGCCATCTGGTTTTGGGCTTTTCTTTTTAGGGAGATTTTGTATTGTTGATGCTATTTCAGAACTTGATATAGGCCTGTTCAACATTTCCACTTCATGCTGGCTAAGTCTTGGAAGGTGATGTGCTTCCATGTGTTGGTCAATTTCCTTTAGATGTTCATATTTCTGAGAATAAAGTTTTTTGTAATATTCATTAAGGATTTTTTTTTTTTGAGACAGAGCCTCAAGCTGTCCCCCTGGGTAGAGTGCCTTGGCATTACAGCTCACAGCAATCTCCAACTCCTGGGCTCAAGCGAGTCTCCTGCCTCCGCCTCCCAAGTAGCTGGGACCACAGGTGCCTGCCACAACGCCCGGCTATTTTTTTGGTTGCAGCCATCATTGTTTTGGCGGGTCCGGGCTGGGGATTCGAACCTGCCACCTTAGGTGTACGTGGCTGGTGCCTTAGCCAGTTGAGCTATAGGCGCCGAGCCCATTAAGGATTTTTTTAATTTCTGAGGGGTCTGTTGTTATTTTGTCTTTACCATTTCTGATTGATGAAATTAGAGATTTTACTTTTTCCTGGTTAGGTTGGCCAAAGGTTCATCTAATTTATTGACCTTTTCAAAAAGCCAACTTTTTGATTTATTGATCTGTTGTATAATCCTTTTGTTTTCAGTTTCATTTAATTCTGCTCTAATTTTGGTTATTTCTTTTCTTCCGCTGGCTGTGGGGTTGTAATGTTTTTCCTTTTCCAGTTGCTTGAGATGTCCCATTAAGTTGTTAACTTCCTCTCTTTCTGTTCTCTTGAGGAAGGCTTGCAGTGCTATAAATTTATCTTTTAGGATTGCCTTTGCAGTATCCCAGGGGTTCTGATAATTCATGTCTGCATTATCGTTTTGTTCCAAAAATTTGGTAATTTCCTTCTTAATCTTGTTGATGATCCAGCTATCATTCAGCATAAGGTTATTTAGCTTCCATGTTTTTGTATGAGTATCTAGATTCCTGTTGTTACTGAGTTCACCTTTTATTCCATGATGTTCCGAGAAGATGCAAGGAATAATTTGTATTCTTTTAAGTCTGCTAAGTTTAGAATTGTGACCTAAGATGTGATTGATTTTGGAGTATGTTCCGTGGGCTGATGAGAAAAATGTGTATTCAATTTGTTAGGATTAAATGTTCTGTAGATGTCTATTAAATCCAAATGTTGGATGGTTAAGTTTAAATATAAAATTCCTTTGGTTAGCTTCTTATTGGAGGATATATCCAACGCTGCCAAAGGAGTGTTAAAATCTCCAACTACGATGGAGCTGGAAGAAATCAAGTTGCTCATGCCTGTTAGAGTGTCTTTTATAAATTGAGGTGCATTCTGATTGTGTGCATAAATATTAATAATTAAAGTCTCATCATGTTGAGTATTACCCTTAACAAATATGAAGTGACCATCCTTATCCTTGCTTAACTTTTGTTGGTTTTCAAGCATATTGTATCTGTGAATAAAATTGCAACACCTGCTTTTTTCTGCTTTCCGTTTGCCTGGAATATAGATGACCATCTCTTCACCCTGAGTCTATATTTATCTTTTAAGGTAAGATGAGATTCTTGTATGCAGCAGATATCTGTCCTGAGTTTTTGTATCCAGTCAGCCAACCTGTGCCTCTTTAGAGGACAATTTAAGCCATTCACATTAATTGAGAATATTGATAAGCTTGGTGAAATTTTGGGTATCGAATTTTTCAAAAGGACATTTTTAATCCTTTCGCCACTATGGAAGTTGGAATTTGATCAAAAGTTTCTGAGTGAGTTTACTTTTGTGGTGGAAGATTGCACTGGTCATTATGGAGGATAGGTCTGAGAATATCCTG